GCGCGACGCGCCAGGGGCAGCGTCGACGCATCGACTTACTTGGGGGAGGCAAAATGAGGAGGTCAGAGGCATATCCAGTCCGATTGTGTCGAGCTACACTTCGCGGTTTGGTTAGCCAGATGTCTGTCGATGACCGATTGGGGCGTTTCAGCTCGTGGCCCGGAAAACAATTCGAGTGAACCGGGCGAAAAGTTGGGGATTAATGCGATCGGGCGCGACCAGAATGAGAGTGGAGATGGGCCTTCTTGCACTAGGACTAGACAAGATCATGGCGCATCTCGCCCAATGCTTCCAGGAAGTTCAGGACTGACATGGAATCGCGCCTGCTCGAGGACAGGGAGGTCAGTGAGATTAAGGGAAGCATCGGAGGAGAGAATTCAGAGGAAGAGCAGGCAATGTCGCCGCCAGATTCACCTACTAGGTTGCCCAGGACAGCCAGCAACATTGGTGGATTTGCGGGGTGCGCCGACACTGGGGCTGGTTGCGAATTCCAGGGGCATGCTGGGCACGTGGTAACATTGCTAAAGTGCTGCCCGTTTCCAGGGGTGACATATGCTCGGCTCGCCGCGAAGATGGTAGGGCACGGGCTTTGGACGACGCGCCAGGAAGCGAGCTTGGCCCCGAACCCGCGTTAAATGATCGGGGAGAGAAGATGGATTTAGGAGGCGCGAGGTATACGATCAAGTGCAGGAGGAGGAATGCTGGGCCGTTACTGGCAAAGCCCCACGGGCGCAAGGTGGGGCGACACCGACAAGGGCGACGAAGCCAATCCTGAGTTCCAATCTCGGCCGGCGGCCCAATATGTTAACTATCCATCGACAAACACATGTGCAGCCACCGCCCCATTGGGAGCCCCAAGACTCTTACTCTGCGGCAGTCACCGAGGGAATTGGACATGACTGCGGTGGGAGCGAGCGCGGAATGAAGCTGGGGCCTGTAGACTTAAGCGGGCATGCTTTACGCCAACGTGGGAAATAACGTCTTCACCATATTGCCAGAAGGAAATTGTGAACCGGGCGCGCATGGAAGACAGTTATTGTCAATGCACGGCGCCCGGGGCGCATCCATGACTGCGGCGCGAATTTTGCGCGCGGCATTGGCTCTGACAGCGGGACAGGCAAGTGAAGGAACAGTCATGTGGGGAACACGCTTTATAAAGTCGTGGAGTTCGACCCAGGGCGTAGTGGCGTTATCTTCTGGAGCAGCGGGGTATCATGGAACGGTTGACAGAGCCTCAGTAGCGTTGCGACTGCAAGCGGCCCAAATGGATTTCGGCATTGCTTGCGGCATCTGGTCAAAGAGCAGAGCAAGTGCAGCCGTTGCCATTGCCAGCAGGTGCGGGGTGGGAATGGTCAGACACGTCGAAGTCTGCGCATTTTGGTTACAGATGCAGTCGCGACGACGGGGCAGCAAACTCATCGAGGTAGGGCTTCATGAATGTCTTATTGGTGCTCGAACTAAATATGTGAGCAGACAGAGACAGCAGCTCCATGCAAATGCGAGGCACCAGCCAACATCTCATCAGTGGTAGACACGAACTGGCACCTGCAACGGAGCGTTTGCGTCATCCACATCCGGGTATTCATCGCGTGCCGTTTTGCTGGAGATTTGAGTTCAGGATCAGTTGATGTCCACGTACTCGTCTACGCGGTTGAAAAGTTACGTTGCGGAAGGTGAAAGTCATTCTGCGTGACTCGATATTTTGCGACATTTAAAAATGTTCAAAACAAAGTGATCCGCGTGTTAGGGAGCACCGACATTCGCACGCACGCCCGAATCGTACTCGCTTCCTGCTTGCACCAGTTTTGCTTTTACTAGTTTTAGCTTCACGTCTTGACCTGCTAGGGCGGAGTCCAGACTTCGATGTGCTCTGTATTGGTTTATTTTGCCGTTGCCCAGTCTCTTCTGCCATTTGCATGTCGCCCGTCTCCACATCCGGCGCATTTCATCAGCCGAGAGGGGGTGTTATATTGTAACGCTCTGACTGGGTGAGCAGCATCGGCTAGTGTGATTGTATGATTTGTATAGCATCAAGGGCACGCCAAGCTGGAGTCGAAACTGCGAAGTGCATCTTTGGCTCAAGTGTCATTCGCCTTCTCGTTTCTCTGTTTTGAAAACAATCATGCCATATCTTCATAGCGAACATGATGGGAGACTCTCCGGATGCCCCTTGACAGCTGCTGGTGGTCTTCTCGGGGCGTCTTTGTGGACTTTTGGCGGTCCTGGGGGCCTTAGGGGAGCTCGATCATAGAAGCGGGGGAATTTCAGAGCCTTCCCATGAAACCGACATGGGCTTCAAATAGTAATAAAATTAATGATGTGTGCCTTTTGGACGAGGAAATACTGGACGTTCCAATCGGTGTTGAACCCCCGTCCAGGTCCAAGGGTAGGGGGTAGGGGGAAGGGTCAAGCTACCCACCCGCCCGCAAACCGTCTAGCTTACTACCACCTGCACCCCCAACGCAGAAGTAACACCCGAGCCTGTGCACGTTCAGCGGCTGTCTTTGGATGGGCAACTCCTGGGGACCAAAGCCGACTCCAGGTGCACGACGATTAGGCGAGGTGCGCCACGCGTGCCAGGGGCGCCACTCGCGCCAGGCACCCTTGGGGCCCGAACGTGCCAGGCAAGCCTGGTACGCCAGATGCGGCACGTGCTCCGAGTGCGCCAGGTGTGCCGCACACTCCAGCCGCGCCAGGTGTGCCACGTTCGGGACACGTGCAGAGTGCGCCAGGTGCGCGCGCACGTGACAACACATCGGGAAACATGTCGGCTCCCACCATCTTTGTCGAAGACCAATGCCCACCATTGTGTCTGGTGTGCCTGCGCACAGCAGGCCACGCGCCACCCCCCCCGCCGTCCGTGTCAAAAACCGCTTGACGGTGATCGCGGGGTGGCCAGGTATGGTAGCCCTGCGCGCAGCAGGGGATTCCCGCCGTCTTTGTCAAAAACAATACGAAGTTTTCGCGGGCCTCGCGAACATGATTCAAGACGTTGCCCCAACATGTATTTTGTATTGGTTGTTGACAGGGATGCAGGGGGTGGGTGGGCGCTCCAATTGTGTGTGTGTGTGGGGGGGGGGGGGGGGGCAAAATGCGTTCTGCATTGTTTTTTGACAGGGCTGGTTCGGGGGGGGCCCTCATGGGGTTGGCATGGTTCCGGGTTGGCCGCCGGCCGGGTGGGGGAGGTGGTGTATATCAATGAGGAACCGTGAAAAACCCTTCCATGAAGGGGAAGAATGGGGTTGGAAGAAGAAACGCTTTAAACCACTCACACCCTAAAGGCCTGGTGGGAATTCTTGTGGAGACTGGCCGGAACATGTGCCGATTTCTTTGCGGGCTGCGGTTCGGGGGAGTGCATGTGTTTACGCCAGATATCGGGACCCAGAGGGTCCCGAAACCTTTTGTGTGTTCCCAATTTCGCTTCTGTGAACAAAGCTGTCGTCGAGAATAAAAGCTTCCACGCTTCTAGATTGTGGAGTCGTTCGGGGCTGGATTCTTGGAGACCCCGGGCCCTCCAGCAGCAGCGATACTCGGGTTCATTGCTTCATTGCTCGGGACGCTACAATGACCGTTTTAAATTAGCGTCTCCGCCCTTGCCCCGTATAGGTAGGGGTGCGTCTAACACCGTGCAGTGCGTGAACGAAACCAGGCACGGAGAGGAACACGATACCTGGAACTACAACACATTGCGTGTGGCATGCTCGTGCTGAAGATGCTTGCCCGCGTGCTGATTTACTGTCGCGGTACAGTTTGTTTTTCGTTGTGGCCGGCGATCCGCACCAAGGAGCTGCTACGAATGTCTTCGAAGTCTGTCTTGTGCACACCCAGCGAAAATGATTTCGATCACTGCGCATGCATGATATGGCCGTGTTATGTATCAGTGTGTTTTCCATCTGTTTTATGTCATGGCCTTCGGCCGGCCCGCGCCACCGTGCCTGGGTTAATGGGGATGAATTGGGCATCTGTTAGATAACCTTGGGAAGCGGCCAGCGGGTCTGTAATAATACAAGTCTGGAATTTGCAAGCTGTATTCGCAAATGGTACCAAGCAGCTATCATTTGAGGCAGATCTCGTGTATGTCGCAAGTGGCACCACGTACGTACCACTTCAATCATATTGCCCACTGGAGTCTCACCTTCTGCTTACTTCAGGCGGTACGAAGCAGGTACCGCTTGAATCATGCCGTCCGTATGCCTCACTGAACGAAGCCATAGTAGGAACGATTGACATGCCGTGCAATGTGGGGTCATATCGTCTGTATGCCCCACTCGGTACTAAGCAGGCACCCGTGAGTTTATCTTGTCAGTATGCACGAGGCAAACACTATTTGAGGCATGTCGCCTGCATGTCTGGATTCGTACCAAACAGGTACCATGTGAGGCATACCAGGTGTGTGCTTCAAGCGGAGCCAGTGCAGTGCCACTTGATGCATATCGTCTGTATGGATCAAGTTGGTACCAAGTAGTTACCGCGTCAGTCAGATCCTGCGTATGCTTGGAGCGGTGGCAAGCAAGTATGACTTTTGTCAGAATGTCCACATTTTGGGGCATAATCCTGATGAAGGCATACCAGGGTATGTTGGGATGCTTGTGGTTGGTTTCTTCGAGACGTTTTGGGGGGTTCCTCGGGGCATCGCGGGGTCCTCTTGGGCCCTGTGGGTGCGTTTTTTGAAGTTTTTTGGATGCCTCTTGGAGCTTTTGACGGGCCTCGCGGGGGCATTTCGCAGGCGTTTTGCAGGCTTTGGGGGGCCATCTTGGGGCCGAAGGCTCCAAATCTGTGGCCCGGTTTTTCCTCAGCGTTCAACGGGTTGGGACGCAGGGAAAAGACGAGGAAGGGAGAACTAGGTGCCCAGAGGGACCATGACAGGCTATGGAGTAGAAGGGGGGAGTGCGCGTCAGGTACTATTTGTTGTGTTATCTCCAAGTGTTGCCGTCTCACCGCGTGGCCAGGAGAAGGGCTTGCGAGAGCTCCTTGCCAGGACGTGCCCCCCGGGGCCGGAGGAACTCCAGAGGAAGACCGTCGAGACCCTCAAGGGCACCTGTGTGACCACAGACTGGCAACTTGAAGTTGCGCCCAAGGAGCTGCTCGTTGAGCTGCTTCCCCCGGGAACGAAAGGGGCGGAGTTGACGCTCTGCCTCCACGCCCAGCAGGCAGTGGCAGAGCAGGAGGCGGCCAAGGCAGCGCAACCGGGGACAGAAGCAGTGGCGAGGCAAGTTGCGCGCCTCGGGAGGACTGTCCGCAAGACCAAGGCCGGGGGCCGGGAGCCTTCGAGCCTCTCCACGTCCCCGGAAAAGGACTTCGACGCGTTCGAGTGCCTGCGCTCGTACGGCCTCGGGGTCAAGAGCGACCGCAACTGCAGATTCGCCGCGCTTCGGGCGCTGGCGGCCTCGGCGCGCAAGGATGCGCGCCGCCGCGCCCGGCCCCCCAGGAGTTCGCGGTCCCCGGCGCCTTGAACAAGTTCAGTCCACAGTGGATGGACGAGCGCTACAGGCCGCAGACTGCGTCAGATGTGACCCACGCGCAGTGGACGGCCATGTGGTGGGGCAGGGCGCTGGCGCAGTTGACCTGCCAGGCTCACACGCAGAAAGAGGTCGTGACGGTTGAGACTATTTTGGGCGCCTTCCTGGACGTGAGCAGGATTGCACTCGAAGACACCAGGAGGGTGGCGTCCGATTACGATGCCACCCTTTGGAGCGAGCTTGCTGACCGCACGCGCAGGAAGGACGCCACGTGCATCCCGAAGGTGATGCTAGAGCAGGTTGACGAGAACCGGCGCGCCAGAGCCAACTCAGCGGCCAGGGCTGCCGGCAACGCTCGGTCCCAGACCGGGTTCAAGAGGGGCAGCAAGGGCAGGCCGCAGTACCAGCAGCACTACCAGCATCACTACCAGCAGCCAGGGCGCCAGCAAGGCGCACCGCGGCCGCCGCCCCCGCCGAACCCCCTGGGCAAGGGCAAGGGCAAGCCGTGGAAGTGAAGTCCGGCGTCGCCTGGCGCGTGGGGCACGGATGAAGGCGACGGGTCGTTTGTAGATGCTTGGTCGTCTGAAGGTGGCTCTGCGTGCTCTGATGGCGCTCCGGCAGGAGCAGCAGTGGAGCCAGTGGCCCACCTGCGAGAGGCGCTCTCGGCGCTTGCAACGTGGGAGCCGCTGCCTCGGAGCCCAGAGAGCGACTTGACCGAAGAGCAAGTGTCCCGCATCTCCGATATGGCGGCCGGACCGTTAAAGTTTTTCGCTTCGACTTCTGGGATGCTTGAGCTGTGGAGGTAGCGTAAGTCTGCCCAGGCGTCTAATCTTCAGAGGTGGCGCAGCATGCTAATTACAGCCGCACGAGCGGAATGTCGCTGGAAAGATAGATCCGTTCACGCTCGGCGCTCTGCTCCATCAGTCTCAGCGCGACGATGCCACGCACCTGCACGACTTGCTTCACGGGCCCCCTCTCACTGAAGAGCTCCACGTGGGGGGCATGGGCACTCCGGTACCCGAGGGGCTGCGCAGCCGCGGGCGCCCGGGCGGCGGTGGCGCGCCGCCTCTCTCCGAACTGAAGCGCAACTGCCCCCAGCTCAACGAAGACACCTTACGGCGGGCAACAGCCCGGTCGCACGCGTCATCTGCCGACCAGGACGGGATGAATATAAGCACGCGCAACAGTGCGTGGTCATGTTTTGGCAGACGTGGAGGTTTGTTGGGCTGGTTCTGGAAAATCCCATCCGACGCGTCCACGTGGATGGCGGCGCCTCTGTCGCCTCATGTGTTCGGCAACCTCGGAGGGGCCGCGGGGTGGTATCGCGCGGCCAGGGCGGTGCAACACATCATGCTGCGTATCTTCGGGGTGGTAGTCTTTTTGTACGTAGACGACGCCTTCTGGGTAGGTACGGATGACAGGTGTTCCGGCTGCAGAACGGCATCCGAGAGGATTGGGGTTCTGTCTGGAGAGGTCGCCACGGGCCTGCTCTGTTGGCGGCTCGACCCCGACAAGAGCGAGGTTGGCAAGAGAATTTTGCTCCTTGGGACTCAGATCAGCGCGGGCTTACAAACTTCGCGGCGGGCTGTCAGCGCAGACAAGCAGCAGCGTTGGGGCGAGGACATCCGGCAGGTGTTGACACAAGATGTCCTCCTCCCGGGCTTCGCATCCAAGTTGTGCGGGCGCTTGTCTTTCTTGAGCTGCCGCGTCTTCGACGGGGTCGGCCGAGCGCCGTTGCGCTCTCTCATGCGGCGGCAGCAGCAGCGAACGGGGCCGCGTGCGTTGACGAAGCGGCCCCGGCACGTTTTGCAATGGTTTCTGGCTCTGCTCGAAAAGGGGGTCTCCAGGGAGGTGCCGTTATTTCCCGCTGCGCTTCCGCCCCTGGCGCCGTTGTGCTCTGGCGCCGAGCGCGCCGGCAGGGTGGGGGCTGTTTCTGCGGGCCCCAACGGCGCCGCCGGGTTCATCCAGGGCCGCCTCCCTCGCAGCATTCGTGCACTCTTAAAGACGAGGGCCACGAATGCCTACGAACTGTTGGCTGCCTTAGTAGCCCTAGCGCCGTTCCCCCCCGATCGTATAGCGGGTTCGCGCATAGTGCATTTCATAGAGAGCAGCGCAGCGCTGGCGTGCGCAGTGAGAGGCTATTCTCCCGAGGAGGATTCGGGATTGATTGCTGGCCGGTTTTGGTGTGAAGTGGCCGGCTTGCACGCGCGCCGCCGCGCGGAGCGCGCCCAGTCAGCGAGCAATCTCGCAGACGGCCCGCCCCGCAGTGATTTGTCCATCTTGTGCGCTTTAGGCCCGGAAGAGACATTGAGTTGGAGATGGCCGTGTTTTCGGGGTGGCCTTGATGGCTGGCTGCGCGGTGCTGACGCCAATCGTGGCGTCGTGCAGGCGCGAGCCCGACTAGAAAAGGCAGCGGCCTCGTTGGATCTTGCACCCATGGTGGGTCAACGTTGGTTCGTGTCGCGGGCAAGAGCCCCGTCGCGCGCCCTTGTTGCGGCGCTTGGCTGGCGGTGGCCTGGCGGGCGGGAGCGCCAGCTCACCCCCGCGCGCGGGCGCAATGAGGCGGGCAAGAGCTCGCGGCGTGACGCCGCAGTAATGACAGACATGCCTTCCTCTATCATCCGTTACCTCGTCCGCCTGCCCCCCCCCCCGCGTGGCATGGCGCGCGCGCGTCAGCGGCAAGGTTGACACTGCCGGGATCAGGCTTGACAGCGGTAGCTGGGGGAAACGCGCGGCAAGAGCCGTGGGGGTCGGCAAGGGCCGGCAGCTTTGCGCGCGGCGGCCCAATGTGGGGGCCGGCAACAGCCGGCGTCGCGCAGGGACAACAGCCGCGCGAATCACGTGACGGAGAGATAAGAGCTTCGTACGACAATGGTTGGGCGCATGTTGCTGTCGGTTTGTTGCATGCAATTACATGTGCATGTGTGCGTGCGCCTGTGTGTGAGTATGCAATGCATTTGCGTGTGTCTCACGTTAGCTGGTCTCTCGCTGACCTCCATCAGAACCGTTGTCTCCGCAGAGCGGCGAGCCTCATTATTATCTGCGCTGACACTGGCAACGCAAGACGCGCTGGCGGCAAGAGCCGAAAGCGCATTTGTCTCTGTGCGACTGCGCAATTAATTCAGCGCATGAGGGCAACAGCCCAGGCGCAGTGCCGTCTGATCGAAGCATGGGCTCCCATGTTTTTGTATATGCATTTTTTGTGTTGTCGCGCTCATGTTTCGTCGCCTGTTTGGTTGCGCCGCCGTTGCCGCTGCCCCTCCATTCACTCATCATCATAACTTGCACAGCGGGGCTCATCATTCTTATCGTGTTGTTTGTGCCCGTCTCCCAAACGGTGCTTGCGCTCAAGGGGCCTCGCCTACATCCAAAGGGGACATCCGCGGCATTGCACGCTGGAACGCACTGGCCCGCGCCGGTCAACGTTGCATTCGTGCAGGGTGGTAATGACCATCGCGTTAGCGGGCGTCACCCACAGGGAGGTTTCGCTCACTGCGCCCGCAAGAGTGGGGGTTGGGGCCCGGCACGAGCCGGCCAACAGGGCATTCACGCACGAACATCACGCAGCGACGTTAGCAGCCACGCAACCGCGTGGGCCGCCTGCGGCAGAAGCCATTCCCCCCGCGCGGTTCGAGCCGGCAGGGGACAGAGGGGGCCCCTCCGGAGAGCGGCCGGGCAGCGGCCTGCCTGGCCGGGGCCATGGGACCCTTCCGCCCAGTCACCCTGGCGGCTGCGAAGCGCGACCGCCCAACGGCGCCAACATGCGCTTGCGCTTCTCGGCGCAGATCAGGCATTGCCCCCGTGGGTCTTGGATTGAGACCGGCTTCGAGCAGCAGCTCTTTTCTTAGCAGCCGCTCGTGCCAGGGCGGGCAACGGACGGGCCCCCCGCCGCAGCTGGCGGCGCCTGTTGAGTTGCGGCAGCCTGCCGGTGCCGAGTCGGAGCGGTGGGTCACGCGGATTCTGGCGCTGAGCCCCGGCGAGCGCGCGGGCTGGGTTCTGTCGCGGCGTCTGGAGGAATACCGGAACGAAGCAGGGCTCGCAGTTATGTTGAACAAGGCGACGTTTGAGTCGCGGCTGCAGGAGCAGGGTCTCGGCGACTTGGTAGCAGCCGGGGGGCCACGCAAGAGGGTGAAGGTCTTGCAGGAGGCGCCGCCGGGTGCGCCAGTTCTGCTCGGCGAGCAAGCCCAGCGCTTCATGATTGAGGCGATCCGGGCGTCGATTCCCACGTGCGCCAGCGGGGTCAGGCGCTGGGCGGCGTTTTGCGACGCAGGAAACATTGCAGTGCACTTCCCAGCGATAGAGGAATCCGTGCTGCAGTTCGCGAACATGTTCGCTAGCCCCGACACTTCTGCACGTGCCTGAAGCACTTGCGGTGGTCCCGCCGCTTCTTGGGGTTGTCGAATGGGTGGGGCGCCGCTGTTCTGAGCCAGGTGCGGCGGGGCATCCGCAAGGCAGCCCCGCCGCCGAAGCCGCGCTTAGGCTTGCCAGCCAAGGGCGTGAGGCGTCTGGTGGAGTGCGCGCGGGGCGTGGGCGATTTGGAGCAGGCAGCGCTGCTCGCCATCGCCCGGAGGTTCCTACTCTGCGCGCCATCAGAAGCCTTGCCGCTGCAGGAACGCGGGGGCTGCCATAGCATTGAATTCGCGCGAACACGCGCGCGGCCCGAGCACGTTGAGAAGGGAGTGCTGCTGTGCGTCGTCGGGCAAGAGCCTGTGCGCACACCGCTGGATGAAGCATGCTCTAGGCGTGGCCAGGGCGGCACTTGTGGAGGAAAACTACAACGCTCACCAGTTCGATCCATCATAATCCTTTGTATTGTTTCGTTGTTCGTTCCCACGCATATACGTTTTTTTTTTTTGTTTGGGCGGGGGGGGCTCGGCCTCCCTCTTTCCAATTTGCTCCGACCCGGCTCTGGTTGTGACAATGAGATGCACGCATGGGGTCTTCCGCGTCGCGTCGGCGTTGCCTCGCGCTTCAAGGGGAGGCTTTCCAAAATGTACGGTTACGTTCAGGGTCGACCCTTTTGGCCTGAGGTGTGAAGACGGCGCGTGGTTGCCAGAGAGTTCGGGGATCGCGCGCGACGGGTGCTAGGCTCGCGATCGCCGCGATGGGCGGGGGATCGATGCGCGAGCCTGCTGCCCGGCAGGCCCGGTCGGGCTGCTTGCGCCCATCGAACCCGACCCAGCATCGCGCCTCAGGGGCGCACGCAGCGTAATCAGGTGAAACCGCGGCTCCCCAGGAGACTTTTCCGCTGCGTTCAACGGGTTGGAACGCAGGGAAAAGACGAGGAAGGGAGAGCTAGGTGCCCAGAGGGACCATGACAGGCTATGGAGTAGAAGGGGGGAGTGCGCGTCAGGTGCTATTTGTTGTGTCATCTCCAGGTGCTTCCCTCCCTCCCGCCCCCTCGTTGCGCGAGCCTGCTGCCCGGCGGGCCTGGTCGGGCTGCTTGCGCCCATCGAACCCGACCCAGCATCGCGCCTCAGGGGCGTATGCAGCGCAATTAGGTGAAACTGCGGTTCCCCAGGAGACTTGTCCGAATGGCTCGTTTCAGCGTATTGCGTAGGGCCTCTGCATATGTTTTGGAACGTTATGGGGAGCCTCTGGGGCCGCTTCGGAGTTGTTCCATGAATGAGTTCATTGTATCGCATTCTTTCTGTCGCTCGAAACCGCGATGCTGCTCGATAATTTGATCAACGGATGGACAGCATAACGTTTCCCGATGTTTTGGGTTCGTCGCTCAGCGGCGTTCGCTTCAATCAGCGAGTGTAGAGCACGAGTGTCTCGCTAGGATTGCGTTTGTGAGTCGTGCGGTCGAGAAGTTCGTAGTCGCGGCAACGGGCGGCCAAGTGGGAATTGTTTGAACGCGGTTGCGCTCTCGCTCAGCGGATCGAAGTCGACTGTGCTGAGGTGTGTTTCGCATCTTGAAGGGGAAGCTTCTGTTCGAAATCAGTGGCCGTCTGGGCCCATAGATGCGCGACTCAGCCAGCATGCGGTTTCCGAAACGGCCCGTGCCTGGTAATTCCTGGGGCGGCTGAACTGCCTGCGGGCTCTGCGCCTGGACCGCGCGCCGACGCGACTCGCGACGTGCCCCGCGCTCGCGCGCAAGACGCGAAGATCGCGCCATTGCCGAGGGACCTGGCTGACCGCACCACGCCGAGAGTTTGCGACGCATCTGAAACGTCGCGTTGTTTGCGCGCCTTGGAAGGTCGTCTCTCACAACCGCTGCTCACCGGCGGAGACAGCTTCTGTCGTGGCATCCATGCCTTTTCCGGGAGTGGCGGGCCGACCCTTCCGTGCTCGAGCGCGCCGATGCGAGACGCGTTGCGCGACGTGCACTTGGCGAGATCGCAGGGGAGGCCCGTCTAAATTCGCGCAACGCGATGGCGCTTCGCAGCGCGATGGATTGGGCATGGTCGCAGGTCATCGCGCCGCAAGCCCAACGGCGCGCAGGTCTCATTGAGTGAGAGCTCGCTTTGTTGCGGGAAGGAGTTTCCATCTGGGAGAGCACCCTGCTCGATGACCGAGCTCTGTCCGCGTGCGTGTCCGCTGTGGCCCAGGAAAGATCGGCATCGACTACCTCCGAACAGAAGTGCGCAGCAATCCCAGATGATTTCACGGCGCCCTGAAGGAGGGCATGACAGATATTGACCTTCTGCCGCTGCTGACGCACATGGGCTGCGAAGAGAATCACGAAAGTCACGCAGGCGTTGAATCGACATATACCCTTGTCCTTCCGAGAAGCCGTTGGAAGATCGACGTCGTCGTGCACGGACGCGCCCGAATGGCCGCGCCATCGTCGCGGCGTCGCGCGCGAGGGCAGCAGGGCATTCCATTCGTTTCTGGAGCGCGCGGATAACGCCGCGAATAATTTCAGAAACGGGGACCAGGGCAGAGCCTCTGACGCAGAGGTGGTTCAGTTCGCAGACATCGTGAACGACGCCCGCAGTCGCGCGCCCGGTAGAAACTGGAGCGCCCGCGTTGGTGCGCGAACCGTTCGCAAACTTATAGAAGCTCGTGCGCCCGCGTTATTTGGGCGCCATGTCTTCCGATTGGTGCTTTGGCTGCTCGATGGGGCGCTGCTGGCATTGCGCGAAGGCTCAAAGCTCATCGCGGCGATCGCCTGGAGGATGCAAGCACCGCGCGATTCCCGGGGCCCAGTGATGGACGCGCGCAAGCACGCGGCCCCCCCGGAAGAGCTTGCAGAGTTTTTCCCAACCATCCTGTGGTGTTGGGTCCTCGTTTTGAAGAGACGGTGCCCCGCGTCTCCTCCCGCTGCCCCCTCCTCCTCCCCCTCCTCCCTCCCCCCCGCGTTTCACCCACTCAGTACAGCGTTTCGTGGCCCCATAGGGAGCTCCACCGAAGGCCCCAGTGGCAGGGTTCGCATGGCGGCCCCGCGTTTTGGAGCTCCCCTCACACGGTTCGTAGCCCCATGGGGAGCTCCACCGAAAGGCCCCGGTGGCAGGGTTCGCATGGCGGCCCCGCACCATTTTGGCGCACCCCTCACACGGTTCGTGGCCCCATAGGGGGTTCCACCGAACGCCCCAGTGGCAGGGTTCGCATGGCGGCCCCGCGCCATTTTGGCGCACCCCTCACGGTTCGTGGCCCCATAGGGAGCTCCACCGAAGGCCCCAGTGGCAGGGTTCGCATGGCGGCCCCGCGCCAGTTTGGTGCACCCCTCACACGGTCGTGGCCCCATAGGGAGCTCCACCGAAAGGCCCCAGTGGCAGGGTTCGCATGGCGGCCCCGCGCCATTTTGGCGCACCCCTCGCACGGTTCTTGGCCCCATAGGGGGCTCCACCGAAGGCCCCAGAGGCAGGGTTCGCATGGCGGCCCCGCGCCAGTTTGGCGCACCCCTCACACGGCTCGTGGCCCCATAGGGAGCTCCACCGAAGGCCCCCGTGGCAGGGTTCGCATGGCGGCCCCGCACCATTTTGCGCACCCCTCGCACGGTTCGTGGCCCCATAGGGAGTTCCACCGAAGGCCCCAGTGGCAGGGTTCGCATGGCGGCCCCGCGCCAGTTTGGTGCACCCCTCACACGGTTCGTGGCCCCATCTCCACCGAAGGCTTTCGCATGGCGGCCCATACCACACCACCGAAGGCCCCAGTGGCACGGTTCGGATAGGCTCCACCGAAGGCCCCAGTGGCACGGTTCGCATGGCGGCCCCGCGCCATTTTGGCGCATCCCTCGCACGGTTTGTGGCCTCATGGGGGGCTCCACCGAAGGCCCCAGAGGCAGGGTTCGCATGGCGGCCCCGCGCCAGTTTGGCGCACCCCTCACACGGTTCGTGGCCCCATAGGGAGTTCCACCGAAAGCGCCCGTGGCAGGGTTCGCTCGGCGGCCCCGCGCAATTTTGGGGCACCCCTCACACGGTTCGTGGCCCCATAGGGAGTTCCACCGAAGGCCCCAGTGGCAGGGTTCGCATGGCGGCCCCGCGCCAGTTTGGTGCACCCCTCACACGGTTCGTGGCCCCATAGGGAGCTCCACCGAAGGCCCCAGTGGCAGGGTTCGCATGGCGGCCCCGCACCATTTTGGCGCACCCCTCACGCGGTTCGTGGCCCCATAGGGAGCTCCACCGAAGGCCCCCGTGGCAGGGTTCGCATGGCGGCCCCGCGCCAGTTTGGTGCACGCCTCACACGGTTCGTGGCCCCATGAGGAATTCTCCTTGCTTCGTCCCACCTGCCTTGCGGTTTTCACACTTGCGCATGCGCCTGGATAATTTGTTCGTCGCTATCGGCGCCGAACCTTGGGGGGGCTTTTGCCGGGGGGCACTGTGATCGGTTGGAATGTTTGACGAGAGTTTTTTGCCGCCGCCCCCAGTCGCCGCGTCGTCGTCAGCGTCGGCGGAGACGGCCCGCCCGATATCGTCGACGGGCCGGGCGCCGACGCGGAGGCGACGAAACGCAGTGCCGAGGCAGAGCCAGGCGCGCGGGTCAGAGGGGCGTCAGATGGCCGCTGCGTTCTCTATGGGCCGTTCTCAAGGGATTTTGAAGATTGCGGCTTCGTCCGTCGTTCAGTTGATGCGTTCTACGTGAGGCTTCGACTTTGCGCGCCTCGCATGGCGCCGTGGACGTGCCACTTGAGTTGCGTCGCGTGCAAATTTGGAGCGGTGCCAAGCAAGCGCTGACTGAGTGGTGCTGTCGGCATGCCTTCATGGATATCAACCAAGTACCACGATGGGGGCGCGCTGTCTGCGCGCCTCTCGCGGTGCCAACCAAATGCCACATAAACCACTTTGTGCATATATTCTGCGCGCCTGCAAGGGTGCCAAACAAGTGCCCTTTTAGTCATGCCGCTTGCGCGCCACGCGCGGTATCTGGGATGCGCCGCATGAGGCATATCGTCTGCGCGCCTCAAGTGGTGCCAGGCAAGTGCGACTAGGGCACTTGAATCGCGTCGCCAGCATGCGTCGAACAGCGCTGGTCTGCAGTGCTGTTTCATGCGTGCCCTTTGCACGCCTCCAGCGGTGCCCAGCAAGCGCCGCGCGAGGCTTGCCGACCGCGTGCCCCGACGACAGGCGCCGACCGATCGAGATGTAGTTGCGCGAGTGAGACGTCGAGAAGTCATTCGAAACAAACAAGGAATACTGGGGGCGCTGGCAGCCGCGCGACTCTGGCCTTCAACGCAGGGGCAGTTGGCGGGGCGAGCGGCGGCCCATTGCCTGGCGCGGCAGCTGCAGCGGCGCCCCGGTCTGGCGGCGGCGCGGCCGGAAGCGCGCCGGGCATTGCGTCGGGCGGCGTGCTTGGCGACGTCTTGGAACCATCGACCCGTCGAAGGTGCCAGACTGCGCGCTCGGCGACGGCCGCGAGGGCGAGGGCCCAGGCGGAGCTGGCGAGGAAGCTGCCCTACTCAGCGAGGAGCCCGCTGACGACGGGGACTCTGGCGCCGAGGACGTTCGCGCGCAGCGCGCGCGAAGCTTGCGGTCTGGGGCGGGGGCGCGTTGGCAACTCCTCGCGCGAGTGGGCGCAGGGGGCGGGGGGGCTGCGTTCCAAGCTGAGAGGCGACGTTATGATGCCCGTGCGCCCTGGCCCCGATCTTGGGCGCCCTGGACTGGCGCGCCCGACGTCGACCGCGCTGTCGCGTTGCCGCCCCGGCGCTGCGCGCTCTGCAACTGCGCGGCCGCGTCGGCGGGGTGGGTCGACGGGGGCCAATCGCGAAGCAGGTTTGCGGAATCTTCTGTAGAGAACGCACAAGGAAGCATTTTTAACAATCATCGCAAAGCATACTCTGCGAGCCCCACGCGGGGCGGGGGGGCATCGAAGACGTCGCGCCGACTCTGCGCGGCGTGGTTCCGGCAGGGGGGGGGCGGAGAGGGTGCCCGAAATGTGGCTCGGCGACGGATCGGCGCGCGCTGCTCCATCTTGGCGAGGCGCGCATGGAGGACAACGCGTCGACGCTATTTTGCTTCGCGTGCGTTAGCAAGCGATTGCGCCCTGTGGGATATGGTATGTTTTGGGGCAAAACTGCTTGAGGGCCATATCGGCTTCCAATGCGACGAGAAGTTGCTGCTGTGCAAAATTTTGAATCGTTCTGACGAGCGTTTCGTTGGAACGCAAGCTGTTGCACAAGCGATTCAAAGACAAGTTCGGCGAAGTTGCAAAGTGCATGCTTTTGAGCGGGGGCGGGCGGCGCGCGCCCGCGGCTAGATGGACGAGGCGCCGCGCCGCCCTGAGGGCGCGGCGAAGTCGAGGGGCCGCGCGCGCGATGGCGCAGCGGCACGCAGCCAGCGCAACATCTCAACGCGCGGCGGTTGCCAGGAACTTGCAGGGCGCAGCCGCAAAATCCCGGCAGCTCTGCCGAACGATAACTTCATCGGCTACGCGACCGAGTTCTTCGCGAGAGAGGGAGCGACGTGGTTCGAAGCGACGACCGCAGCCCCGGGGCCCACGGGCCTTGCGACTTATCACGCGGCAGGGGGGCCGCCGAAAAAGGGGCGACCCCGCGGGCGCCGCCGCTGGGGGAGTTGCGAGAGCTCGGGAGGCACGTGGAGAATATGTATGTAACAATCTTATGTATAAATGTCGAAATGTGTGTATATCAATATACATTTGTATGCATAGACACCCATGTGGATGTACATGTGTGTACCTATACACACATAGGTGCATCTGTGCATACATACATAGGTACATACATACATACAAGCATACACCCATCTGTATATGTATGTATGTAGGTAGGTAGGTATGTAGGTACATGAATGTATGTACATATATACATACATATTCCCTTTTCTATATTTTTATAATCCTGGGGGGTGGGACCCCCCCCCGAAATAGGATCCTCCCCAACTGGGACTTCCGGAAACGGGACCCCTCACGAGGATCGCAGCCTCCGAGCGCGAAAATTAGCGCTCCCCGTCCAAAGAGGAAGGTGAGAGGACACGCGAGGCTCCTTGGACCTCCCGAGAGGCTTTCTCGAGGCTCCTACGAAGGCCCAAGAGGGTCCCAAGAGCCTTCCAGAGTCCTCCGAAGAAGCCCCCGAGAGATGAAAATCAGTGATTTCCTATGGTTTTTCTAAGATTTTTGCTTCTTTGCATGTTCACTGTTCCGACGTGCCAAGACGGCCGAAGACGCCCACAAGACCGATGCCAGACGGCTCAAGAGGCCTCCAAGCGAGTCCGAAACCGGCCCAAGACAGCCCCGACACGGCCCAAGGGGTGCCCAAGACGGCCCCAGAGAGCCCCAAGACGGCCTTCAGAAACGGCACCCCTCACGAGGATCGTAGCCTTCCAGCGCGAAACTGAGCGATCTTCGTCCGAAGAGGCACCTACGAGGGTACGCGAGGGTCCTCGGGTTGCCTTAAAAGCTTCTTAAAGGTTCCCCCGACAGCTTGAGAAGGCCCCACGAACCTCGCAGAGTTCTCTGAAGAAGGCCCCAAGAGATCAAAATCATTAATTTCCTATGGCTTTCCTAAGATTTTGGCTTCGTTGCATGTTCACTGTTCCGACGTGCCAAGACGGCCGAAGACGCCCACAAGACCAATCCCAGAGGGCCCAAGCAGCCTCCAAGCGAGTCCACAGCCGGCCCAACAGAGCCTCCAGACGGCCCAAGCCGTGCCCAAGACGGCCCCAGAGAGCCCCAAGACAAGCTTCAGAGAGAGCTTAAAAGGGGAAAAACATACAATTGCAACGCGCTCGGCTCCCACACGGCCACGCGAGGCCCCAAGCCCCTTCCAGGAGGCCACAAGAAGGGCCACAAGGCGCGCAAAAGGCTTATGATTTCAAGGACTCTGCACCCAGACGCCCACACGAAGCTCCAAGACTCCTCGACGGCTCCCCAGACGTGCCACGAGGCGCCCAAGAGCCGCCAAGAAGCATTCACGAAGTTCCCCCACGACGCCCCACAAGGCCTCTAAGAACCTCCACGAGTTCTCCGAAGAAGACCTTTGTAATCCTGGGGGGTGGGACCCCCCCCCCCGAAATAGGATCCTCCCCACCCGGGACTTCCGGAAACATTAGCGCTCTCCGTCCAAAGAGGAAGGTGAGAGGACACGCGAGGCTCCTTGGACCTCCCGAGAGGCTTTCTCGAGGCTCCTACGAAGGCCCAAGAGGGTCCCAAGAGCCTTCCAGAGTCCTCCGAAGAAGCCCCCGAGAGATGAAAATCAGTGATTTCCTATGGTTTTTCTAAGATTTTGGCTTCGTTGCATGTTCACTGTTCCGACGTGCCAAGACGGCCGAAGACGCCCACAAGACCAATCCCAGAGGGCCCAAGCAGCCTCCAAGCGAGTCCACAGCTGGCCCAACAGAGCCTCCAGACGGCCCAAGCCGTGCCCAAGACGGCCCCAGAGAGCCCCAAGACAAGCTTCAGAGAGAGCTCAAAGGGGGAAAAACACACAATTGCAACGCGCTCGGCTCCCACACGGCCACGCGAGGCCCCAAGCCCCTTCCAGGAGGCCACAAGAAGGGCCACAAGGCGCGCAAAAGGCTTATGATTTCAAGGACTCTGCACCCAGACGCCCACACGAAGCTCCAAGACTCCTCAATGGCTCCCCAGACGTGCCACGAGGCGCCCAAGAGCCGCCAAGAAGCATTCACGAAGTTCCCCCACGACGCCCCACAAGGCCTCTAAGAACCTCCACGAGTTCTCGGAAGAAGGCCTCGAGAGGTTGGTTCAAAGCATCAAGTCCCCATTGCTTGGTAAACAATGTTTGCTTTCACGCATGTTCGGCCTGGTGACATTCCAAGACGGGTGCCAACGCCCCAACACAGCACCCAGTCGGCCCAAGCGGCCTTCAAGGGAGTCTCAAGACGGCCCAAGAGGTGCCCAAAACGGCCCGAGTGAGCTCCAAGACAGGCCTCAGAGACCGTCACCGATTGGGACACACCTGCTGATTTCGAGACCTCCGCTCCCAGACGCCCCACAGCTGCGTGCAAGGCCTCCTATCACCGGGACGTGGCGATTTGCCTACAATCCCAGGTTTGCAACCATATTTTTCCAAATCTCGCTGTCAACCCGGGATTCACGCAATTTCCCAACCACTTTTCATTATATTGGGTTCTTTTCTAAAGCTGTAGCGTTTGGTTCAGCGTGCGCGACGAGTCTCAGCATGCCCCGTTACAAAGAGATTGTTTTTACGTGCTCCGATTAGGGCCCTTTCGTTGCTTCGAACACCAAGTTCTCCCACTCCCCCTCCGCAACCTCTGCACATTCGCAATGCGAGCCCGCGAGGACCCCTCGAAGGGACCGCAGGATACCGCGAGAAGCCAGCCGATCCAAAGCTTCAAGGAACAAGATGCATGGCGCGAAGCGCCTATGCAGCCTTGTATGATCTTGTATGTATGTATGTGTATATATATATATATATATGCGACCCCCCACCCCCACCCCGGGGTCTCCGTCTTCGCGAATGCGAGCCCGAGAGTTTGATCGATGTTCGGTATTGCCTCAGTCGTATCCTTGCTCATGTCCAAGAAATGACACAG